AATTTAGGTAACATAACAGCAAATGTACAACGTTTCGACAAGTACCTGATGATGACGAAACCTTGTCGAAACGTTGTACATTTGCTGTTATGTTTTAAACTTATGTTATTTCTTCATTACCCATTCAAGCCGTCTCCAGCCATTATCAACTTCCATGTTTGGTTTCTCTAAGTCAAAGATTGTCAGGCCGAATAGACTATAGTAACAAACATAGAAACGAAAAGTTTATTCAAGTGCCTTTTATATGTATTTGAAAATGAAAGTACAAAGTGCCTAATAATTAGTTATTTGATAACAATTTTAATAAAGATTAGTCTACAAGTCCTAGAGTTTTGAAAAAATCGACAGCCCACTTTTATGATCTATTCAATTGTGTTGTCCAATATTTTATTTATCCAGCCAGACTAATCAATGAATATAATTGCAGTTTTATGAAGCTAATGAACTTTTAATTGTAAACCTGAGAACGACACAAACAAATTTAACTGTTTGTTTGTTTGTTTTTGAATTTCGCGCAAAGCTAAACGAGGGCTATCTGCGCTAGCCGTCCCTAATTTAGCAGTGTAAGACTAGAGGGAAGGCAGCTAGTCATCACCACCCACCGCCAACTCTTGGGCTACTCTTTTACCAACGAATAGTGGGATTGACCGTCACATTATAACGCCCCCACGGCTGAAAGGGCGAGCATGTTTGGTGTGACAGGGATCCGAACCCTAAATTTAACTGAACAACCAGTTGTTTAAAACACAGATATATTTGTATACATATAGAATAGTTGAAAGAAGCCGATCGTAATTCATTAATTTGTCACATTCTCCTCATAAATAACCTGATTCATATACTGCTCTATGCGTAAGACTAAAGCTTATTTGGACATAGAGTATTTTTTGGACCAGATGTTTACCTTATAGTATGCTTGTTCTACCAACAGAATCAACAGCTACGTGGGTGTCCGTTTGAATTTGGGAACAAGATCTGGGTTGATTTTGTAGCAAGCACTCTTTATATTATTTAATACAATAGTTTAATTTTGTTTTTATAGTGACATTCAAACAATACCATAAAATATTTCTGCACTGTTGATGCGTTATAAAAGTGACAATCAATCTTTTAGTATCGAGTAGGCGGAGTTTGCTGTTGACTGGTTGCCTTCCTTCTAGTCAGCAGCTCTAAATTAGGGACGTTATGCCTTGACCTTGGGTTCTTTGACCTTTACTCTTAGCCCATGTGTCATATACCGTTAAAGTACTGTATTCTAAATCCTCAGGCTGTTATGTACGTGTTGAATGTTTGGGGGGAGGGGGGTTTGTTGACTGGCTCTGTGGTAGAGCTCTAGGTTTCGGAACTGGCGAGCCACGTTCGAATTCGGGCAATACCATAAAATATTTTTTGCGCTTTAAACTTTTGATGCGTTATAAGAGTGACAATCAACCTTTTACTATGGATGGTGGATTGCAGAGTACTGCTGGCAAGCTGTTTTCCCTCTAGCCAATAGTTCAAAATGAGGAACGGCGGCGGATAGTCTTAGCAGGCTTGACATAAATACAAGTATAGAACATTATGTAAGCTTCACGATGAACAAATGGGGGAGAAAACGAAGGGGGGTTAGTTTTTCAAATCGAAATCCTTTCCATCAGAGTTAATTGTAGATTACCTCTGAACTTGGTATTTGTTGTTCATTTCAACTTTGTTTGTTCACAGATTAATGTTTGTGTTTTGTTTTTTTAGATATACAGAATGTCAGTTTATAAATGTAGAGCAGTTTAAACGATGGTGAAGAAAAACATTTTCAACAAAACTTTTAAACGTCACAGATTTATTAAAATGTGATATAACTATTGAACAGGATAGTTTAGTAATTAGGTGTCAACGTTTCGTAGTTAATGTTCATCGGAACTGGTAAGTAAATTGGTTTAGTAATTAGGTGTCAACGTTTCGTTTGTTACAAGTAAATGTTTATCAGAGCTGATAAGTGATATTGTTTAGGAATTAAGTAATAACGTTTCGTTTGTTACAAGTTAATGTTTATCAGAGCTGATAAGTGAGATAGTTTAGTAATTAGGTGTCAACGTTTTGTTTGTTACAAATAAATGTTTATCGCAGTTAATAAGTGAGATTGTTTAGGAATTAGGTGTCAACGTTTCGTTGGTTACAAGTTAATGTTTATCGCAGCTGGTAAGTAAGATAGTTTAGTAATTAGGTGTCAACGTTTCGTTTGTTACAAGTTAATGTTTATCGCAGTTATAAGTGAGATAGTTTAGTAATTAGGTGTCAACGTTTCGTTTGTTACAAGTAAATGTTTATCGCAGTTGATAAGTAAGATTGTTTAGGAATTTAGTGATAACTTTTCGTTGGTTACAAGTTAATATTTATCGCAGCTAGTAAGTAAGATAGTTTAGTAATTAGGTGTCAACGTTTCGTTTGTTACAAGTTAATGTTTATCGCAGCTGGTAAGTAAGATAGTTTAGTAATTAGGTGTCAACGTTTCGTTTGTTACAAGTTAATGTTTATCGCAGC